TAATTGCTATTCACTTCTCATTTGCATTGCATTAGAAAACTACAAAAAAATTATAAATTTAATTAATATTATGTTCTTTTAATTAATTTAATTATAGATTAAAAATAATTGAAGCATTAATTTAATTGGTTTTACCATTTTATTTTTACTAAATTTTAATTTAATTTACATCTTGGTATAAATGTGATTTTTATCGATTACAATACATTTTAGAGGTAATGTTATTATCAATAATTACATAATATTGGTTGATATGTGGAGAAGAGGTCGCCATCTGAACCATTGATGTCCGAATACCTGTGCCGTCGATATGTTATATTTGGGCACAGAATTGGTCAAAATTTATTGTGTAAGCAGTGATTTGTGACCAAACTTTCAATTCACTAAACATGATATTATATGAAATAATATTTGTATATTTATATGAGTTATATGAAAGACATTCTTCATTCTTGTAATTTTATTTTGCATTTTTGATGTAAAAAATTACAACATTTCTAAATACAGTATACTTTAATGATTTTCCCCAATATTTCAATTAACTCTTCTGTGATAACAAGTGGTGATCTAAACACCGATTGTCATCAATTAATTATAGCATTTATTATTGTATTTAAACATTTTGAGATCTGCTTCTAATCCATTGAATAAATATTATTTTCGTTGATATTATCATAATATTTTTAACAATTTTTCTGTTTTTCATAATAAGTGTCAGGAATTGAAGCCATAATTAGTTGACAAACATTTCTTATGTTGAATATAACGACAAACACAACATTTCTCTTTGTAAACACACAATAAGCATACATTCAATCGATGTTTTAACGAAAATACTTACAGAATATTCTGTTTTCATTTGACAAATACATCGAATTAAGTGGAGAGCACTTGAAATGGATGTTTAGTTTTTAACTCAATTATAGTTTAGCAAAACGGGTTCACAACAGAGAAATAGATTACAAATTTACAACATATTTATCTGAAGGCAAACAAAAAATACATTCAATTCCGACTCCTTTATGACCTATCAATTGAAAACTCGTTTATTAATTAATGAAATTGTTTTATTTAAGTACAAAAATCCCTAATTTGGATATGAAATGAATACAATCGAAACAAGTATAGCATTAAATGTTAATTTTATTATTAATTAAAAATATAAAATGAAATTAAATAAATAATAGCCATTCTTTACAATTATATTTCAATCATTAAATGTATAATTTTTATTATGGACTTAAATATTATGAATTTAATTAATAATAATTTTAATATTTATAGGTATTGACAAAAAATGAGAGAAAGATATCACAGTTTATGATTAGATTGATTTCATAGATAATAATAATGTTAATAATAATAAGAAGAATAATATCACAGAAACAAAATCAAAATATAATATATACAGAATATTCTGTAATATTATATTTATATTCAATAGTAATCGTAATAATAATAATAATAATCATATTTATGATAATTATATACAGGAATATTATACACAACTATTCGTATTATATTTATTTTAACGCATCGTTTGGTTGGAAAATATTGAATAGTTTTCATCAGATATATTGTGAGTCCGAAAAATTGGTTATAATTTTCTTCATTGATATAATAGTTTTGATATATAAATGAATGTCTTTTCATAGACCTGTGTATCAGTTCCCATATGACTGAACAGACATATTCTTCGCCGACGATAATCATATTTGGTGTCACAAATGCATCAAAACAAACACAGAATCCCTTTTATATACACATAAGTTATTTATATTAAAATGTGATTCTCAGCCATAAATAGATGTGTTTTCAAAAATGCTTTATAAAACAGAATTCATCTGTAATTTTGTTGATTATGTCATCAATTATTATATCCGTTATTATTTTTCTGTTGTTTTCTCTCCAAACCATATATAGATGTTATGCACTGTATATATAAATATTACATATATTTAATTGTCACTTTTGGTTCACATCCACTTCCCATCTAATTAGACATGAGTCGCGCTTTTATCTGGATTTGAGGCCTAAATAATCAATAGAAACACAACATAACAATGAAATACAATAAGAGAAATATTAATGAAATTTTCTATCACTTTTGATATACAATTGGATTGAATTGAATTACAGGAGCGGGGGTTCAGGTGTGTGGCGGCGATGGCATACATACCTCGTGTGTATAAAACTTATGTCTAACGCTATTAACGAGTGGTGTCTCTAAAGTCACTTCGGATTCGGAACAGCCGTCGGGTATGGAGTGATGGGAACTGATAGACGGACTGCAGCGGACAGCGGCGGCACAGGCGGCCAAAGTGGCCTCGGCGTCGATCAGCGCGTATTGGGTTTGACTATTGTACTGATACTGCGGTCGACACGTGTTTAGTAGCCGTTCGTTGGCCTGACTGACGACCGGACACACGATCGACAGCTCGGCGTAAGTCACGTCCGGACCCCGACTCTGATATCATAGGACAGGAATATTAGGCTATATTATGGTTATAATTGTCATTCAAAATGTGAATTATTAATACAAATGGCAAACACTTGAGTAAAACCTTATTCCCACCCCTCCAGAGCCCACCCCTACCAGTGATGTACTCTAATTATATCTTTAGGTAAATATAGTTTAAAAACTTGTTTATATTGTATGCAATATATTT